GCTACCGGAGCTAGAACCCATTACGAACAACAATAGCCAATTTTTAAACAAATCCTTGAAAAATGTGACAAAAAACATTTAAATGCCGAATTTCAGGAGGTACCGTCATGTGGGGGTTATAAGCAAAAGTAGACATCGTTAATCGACTTAGAATTATGGGGTATACGACGAATATTTGGGGATGTAATATACACTACTTTACGTTTTGCACTTGCTATGACAATTCATGAATCGCAAGGACAAACTCTTCATGTATGCAGACTAAATTTGGCATGTTCCTGCTTTTCTTATGGTCATCTGTACCTGGCATGTTCAGGCGTTGATAGACCGAGCAACTACGGTTGTCATATTTTTTAATTTGTTTTACTATGCCCTCCACCTTTGGAAAGGAGAGTATATTAATTTTGTCATTCCGTTTGTAACATCCCTAAATATTCGTCGTAGACCCCATAAAGTATATATACTTATAATTAGCATAAAATTCTAAGTCGATTTAACGATGTCCGTCTGTCTGTCCGTTTGTCTGTGTGTCTGTTGAAATCACGATAGCCCACATTATTTGAAGTAGAGCACCAAAATTTAGCAGAACAATTTATATTGTGTCTATTATGGTTGATATTGAAAATGAGATATATCGGTCCACGTTTTGGTATAGTCCCCATATAACGGTACCTCCCAATATTCGGTATTTTTATAATTTTTGCCACATTTAACACGGATTTGTCTGAAAACTGGGATTTGTGGTCAAACTGGGTCCAAGTTCGTGTGGCGAAACATTGCATGTATAGGACCACGATTTGGTATAGCCCCCATATAACGGTACCTCCCGACATGCAGTATTTTGATGATTTTTGCCACATTTTTTCACGGATTTGTCTAAAAATTGGTATTTGTTAGTCATAATGGGTTCTAGCTCCGGTGGCGAAACATTGTATTTGTTTTTGTATAGCCCCATATAGCGGTACCTCCCGTTATTCGCTATTTTAATAATTTTTTCCACATTTCCCCATGAATATGTCTAAAAATTGGTATTGGTTTTTATTTAAAAATTACAAAATATTCATATATAAAATTTTGAATGCACATACATCAAAAGGAGTAGCGAAGTGAAACTGATTCGGTTAGTTTTATATTAAAGTTCCGCCGGGCCTTGGAGTAATTTTTGTTTATTTTGTTTAAACATATCTACTTCTGTTTCAAAGGTGATGTAATTATAATATAAAATTAAATATATAACATAATCTTAAAAATATTGTCAAGCGATCTTTCTGAGTAAAATTTTTTTCCAACTAGCTTCTATCGATTACACCAAAAAACAGCTAATATCAGGTCAAATGAACTGAATTTCGGCAATTTCGACTGAATTCATCGTAGAAACAAGTCATCAAATTTGGTGAAAATCGGTTCAAATATAGCTATAGCTCCCATATGTATGTATGTATTATCCTATTTGGTGTTAAAGTCCTTCACATGCGTTGTGTGCACTCCACAAAAATAATCTTTGGAGTCAGATATCAGATACAGTTCAGAAATAAGTGTTTAAAATTTTGTCGAGATCGGTTCGGATTTGGATATAGCTCCCATATATATCTTTATCCGATTTCATGTTTTTTGTGCATGGACTGAATTTTGACTTTAGCCTTTATGCAAGCGCTTCGGATTTTGGAGAAAATCGGTTCAGATATAGCTATAGCTCCCAAATATATATTTCATCCGATTTGGTGTTAAAGTCTCTTACATGCGTAATATGCACTCCTCAACAATGATACTTTATACCGGGCATCAGAAAATGCTCGAAAATACCTCTGCCAAATTTTATCAAGGTCGGTTTTTATATAGCTTCGATATACGTCAGGCCAAATTGAATAGATTTTTTCATATTCAACCGAATTTTTCCATTTGTTGAAACTCTGTCCGGTAAATATATTGCTCCAAGAAACATTTTTTAATATAATCCTTATCGAAGTCATATCATGCACTCTACAGCAATGTCATTTGGATCATAGTTGGTATGAACTACCTCAGTTAAATTCCCAATATATAATTTTTTGTTAGGTAGATCTATTAAATACGCATAGTGGTGTAGGGTATCATATAGTTTTTTCCTGATTTTATTATACCCTCCACCATACAATGGAGGGTATATTAACTTTGTCATTCCGTTTATAACTCCTCAAAATACTCATATCAGACCCAACAAAGTTTGTCCGTCTGTCTGTCTGTCTGTTGTAATCACGCTAACTTTCGAACGAATTGAAAGAGAAGGCTAAAATTTTGCACACATGTTTATTTTTCCAGTAGGCAGGTTAAGTTCGTAAATGGGCCATGTAGGTCCACGTTTTCATATAGCCCTCATAAACGGTACCTCCCAATGTTCGGTATTTTGATGATTTTAGCGATATTTTTCACCAGAAGTGTTTCAAATTTGGTAGTTGAAGTTCAAAAAAATACTACCAAACAAAAAGAAAAAGATCTGCCAATAGAACTTGAGTCGAACTTGGAGATTTTCTAGTGTATAATTCGCATATGCTAAATTGCAATAAGTTCGAAATATATACTACTTTCCAGAGAACGGCCCTTGTAAGCCATCATCCAAACCAAATATGCCTCATGAGCCGCTTAACCAACGGCGAAACGCGTCGCATAGTGGTGAGTGTGTGATAGTGTCCATCTGGCTTTCCTTTTCACTGCAAATTTCAGATCATTAAGCTCGTCTCGAAAGAGAAAACAAACACAAAAAAATACTACCGCCTAAGACAGAAAATTGTCTGTGCAGGTCCACGACTTCGTATGGCCCCCATATAACAGTACCTCCCTATATTCGGTATTTTGATGATTTTAGCGACATTATTAACCGGAATAGTTTCAAATTTGGCATTTGAAGTTCGTAATGGATACTACAGCCTATGACAGAAAATTGTCTATGCTGGTTATTTCAAGTTTTTGAATTTGAATATGGTAATGGCACGTCGTATAAACACCAGTATAACGGCTGTATTCGGTATTTTTATTTATTTTTTGAAACTTTCCAAATTCTTTCCAAATGGTGAAGGGTATTGAAAGTTCGGCCCGGCCGAACTTACTGCTCTCTTACTTGTTTTTATTGCCATATTGTCAATATATATATATATATAATATTGTCAATATAATATATGGCAACATGAATTCAGTAAACTTCACTGTAAAAGACAAAAGGAAAATTTAGCTTATCGGACAGTTCATATTTAAATTAAACTTGAAGTAATGAAAAATATTTTATCTGTCAGAAAGATGTAATAACCGGCCATAGGTCGATTACCATATTTTATATTGATAACACAGCGATAACAGCAAAATTTATTCAAATAAAAAATGGATAACGCAAAACGTTTATTTTGTATTGAAGAACTTGAAGATATGTATATACGAAAACATTGAACGAAAAAATTACCGATTTATTTCACGACACTAATTAGAAAATCGTTTTGTTTTTAATTTGAAAGTAACAGTTACATTTACATTTTTTGTCATATCTCTGAAAATGCATTTATTTTAAAGGAAATATGTAATAATGAAAAACCCGATAATGTGAAAGAAAAAATCTAAGAAATGGCCTATATATTATTACGCCTTCAGTAAAAATACTTTACTCTTATGGAATTGGTGACTTATACTCCACAGTTGGAGCGGTATAAAGAAATCAGTTAAAAAATCGACCGATGGAAGCTAAATCCAAATCTGAACCGATTTCAATATAATTTGCGCTTCATTTTCCAAATTTTATCTGAGATGGATCAATAGATATGGTGATACAGAATATAAATTTTTTAGCTGATGCTATATTTCCAGTTCCATGTGGAATTTCGTTTTGTGTATTATTTTTAAGCTTAAACCAGTAAAGAAAGTCCTAAAGTCGGGCGGGGCCGATTTTATGATACCCTACACCATTTTGCTAATTTAGTTGAGCTCCACTTAATAATTAAAAGTTTTTATGGGAGAATTCAATCATACACGCTATGATTATAATTATAATTTAAAATTCAAAGGACTAAATATGCCGAAGCATTTGTATCTTTTGAATTCGGACTTGTATTGCCCATTTGGTGCGAAATTAATTTGAAATCGGATAAAAATATATATGGGAACTATATCCAAATCTGAACCGATCTCGAAAAAATTTGGCAAAGATATTTCTGAGCTGTATTTGATATATTTCCCTGAATATCGTTGTTACGGAGTGCATATTACGGCTGTGGGTAACAAATACAATAAATCGGATGAACAATATATATGGGAGCTATAACTATATCTGAACCGATCTTCACCAAATTTGGCATACTACCTTCTAGACTAAATTCGGTCGTATGTGCCAAATTCCATCCCATTTCGACAAATATTAGACGTTTGGTGCTCAATAAAAGGCAAATCGGACGAAGTTATATATGGGAGATATATCTAAATTTTTACCGATTATCTCCAATTTCAATAGGGTTCGTCCTTGGGCCAAACAAATGTTGTTTGGAAAATTTCATCTCAATCGGATAATAAAAGCGACCTGCATTTTGTTCACAAGAATACATGGACAGACGGACGGACAGACGGACCGACAGACGGACGGACAGACGGACTGACATACATAAATCAACTCAGAAAGTGATTCTATGCAGATCATCAAAAGGAACTATGGGTCTATCTCGTTTCCTTTGCCTGTTACAAACAAATGCACAAAGACATAATACCCTGGCCACCTTGTGGTGTAGGGTATAAAGAAGATGCCATTGTGAAAAAGCAGTAGCTACCTATCTATCTATCTATCTATCTATCTATCTATCTATCTATCAAAAATTCATTTGTTTTAACGGTAAAATGTAATATTGAAAACCCCATAATGTGCCTCCAGAATTTATTTCTGTATTATTTGTAAAAGTTAAATGTTTAGTATGTATAAAATAAATCTGTCAGCTACAAAGTTTTAAGTATATCTGTAATAACGTTTTTCTGTTTTTACAATATCTTTTTAGCGAGCACTTGTTTAAAACCATGGCAGATCTTCTTATAACTGATGGTTATGCATCTGTCGGATACGAATATATTAATATTGACGATTGCTGGTTAGAGAAAAAAAGGTCTTTAAATGGCCACCTGGTGCCTGATAAATTGAGATTTCCTAGTGGTATGAAATCTCTTGCAAACTATGTGAGCATAAATATTTAAAACTGTATATATGAAGAAACAGCATATATCCATTATTTTTAAAATAACATAAAAAAATTCTGTATAAAGAAAATTTAATGTTACCGAATTGAGTTAAAATGTATCTCATAGTATGTACAATATACATATGAGAACAATATCGCCACATATTTAATACCATTTTGTAATGGGGGGCTTGTAATTCTATTTTAAGCAAATTTATTAGTTTTTCTCAATTTTTGATTGAAACACATATTTTTCTTTACAAAATGAGGAATTCGTTTTTATACCCTCCACCATACTATGGAGGGTATATGAACTTTGTCATTCCGTTTGTAACTCCTCGAAATACTCATGTCAGACCCAACAAAGTATATATATTCTTGATCAGCGTAAAATTCTAAGTCAATTTAGCGATGTCCGTCTGTCTGTCTGTTGTAATCACGCTATCTTTCGAATGAATTGAGATAGATGGCTAAAATTTTGCACACATGTTTATTTTTCCAGTAGGCAGGTTAAGTTCGTAAATGGGCCATGTAGGTCCAAGTTTTCATATAGCCCCCATATAACGGTACCTCCTTATATTCGACATTATTCACGGGAATTGTTTCAAATTTGGTATTTGAAGTTCAAAATGGATACTACACCCTAAGACAGAAAATTGTCTGTGCAGGTCCACGTCTTCATATAGCCCCCATATAACGGTACCTCCCTATATTCGGTATTTTGATTATTTTAGCGAAATTATTCACCGGAATTGTTTCAAAATTGGTATTTGAAGTTCGTTATGGGAACTACAGTCTGTGACAGAAAATTGTATATGCAGGTCCAGGTCTTCGTATAGGCCCCATATATCAGTACCTCCCTATATTCGGTATTTTGTCGATTTTAGGTACAATACCCACCGAAATTGTTTGAGATGTGGTATTTAAAGTTCGTAATGGATGCTACAGCCTGTGACAGAAATTTGTCTATGCTGGTCCAGGTCTTCGCACAGCACCAATTTAACGGCAGCTCCTTATATACGATATTTTGATGATTTTAGCTACATTATTCACCGTTTTTTTCATGTTTCGAATTTGCATATGGTAATGGCTTATGACAAACAATGCCTATGTATGTCCACGTCGTATAGACCCCTATATAACGGCTATATTCGGTATTTTTAAAATTTTAACAGAATTTCTTAAGGATTTTATTTTTAAAAATTTCCAAATTCGTTGGAAATGGTGGTGGGTATTAAAAGTTCGGCCCGGCCGAACTTGCTGCTTTTTAACTTGTTATTCTCTAACATTTAGACATTTTATCTACGTCAACCATTGATTTTCGTCATCAGAATTGATAATAATTTCTAAATTGAATTTAACTATTGTAAATAAGGTGTCATCGCTTTATAAAAGTTATGGACCCATAAAGTAAGTTAAAGAGTACAAATCTTTGTCGATTAAATTATGTCCGTGATCTTCTCCGTTCTCCATTTGCAATTACGATAGAGCCTACCAATTTTAATATGCGTCTTTCAGACTTAGCACATATTATTCTTAGAATTATTGATGTTACAAAAGGTATATATTTGTTCTCATTTAGATATAGCCCTCATATAATATTATCTCCTAATATTCGTTGACTAAATATGCTCCAGTGTGTCATTTTATGATTTCAGTACACTTAAGTCTAGTCCTTTAAAACTGATATCCCATATAACCTGCCGATTTGAGCTATTTTGAAGGCCTCAAAAGCATTTTCGGGGTTATAAATCATTTGTTAAACAAATCGTTATATTATCGTTTTTAATTAAATTTTCAAACCTCAATTGTCAGTATTATAAAGTTCTTGGCAATATTTTTCAAATCAAAAGTAATTTTGAATTCGTAACTTTTAGAAGACCATGTTTGTGCAAAATCCTATTTCAATTCATCTATATCCGTCTGTGTATGTGGCCGTTCGTTAAAATCGCAATAAAGTCGAAAAATTTAGGTTAATCTTTGAACATTTATACAATATTAAAAGGAAGTTAGAATATATGCGTTTCGTTTAGGTATAATAATACCGTTAAACATTCGTGCTTTTGTATGTTTTTGTTATAATTTCTACCGAATTAACTGTAATTTGACATTTAAAGTTTTCCGTATTGTGAAATCAATACCGGCAATAACTGCTTACTACTTAATTTACTATCGTTCGCCATTATGCATAGCCCCAATTTAAAAGTACGTGCAGATTTTAAATGTTTTGATGCTTTGAGAAGTATTTTTTAATCAAAATTGTATAGAATGTATGCAAAATTTCTCGATTTTGTTTTTTTTTTTTTGAATAAGAATTTTCTATTTTAAAAGGCATTCTGAAACAATTCTATAAATACGATTTTTCTAGAGGTTTTTTTTTAAAATGTTCATTCGTGAAAACGTTTCCATTATATAAATACAAATAATTAAAAGAACGTTAGAGTCAATTCATCCAAGCAGTTCTCAACAAATGTATTACTACATTTTTTTAAATTATATATATATATATATATATATATATATATATATATATATATATATATATATATATATATATATATATATATATATATATATATATATATATATATATATATATATATATATATATATATATATATATATATATATATATATATATATATATATATATATATATATATATATATATTATACTATATATATATATATATATATATATATATTTATATATATATATATTATACTATATATATACTAAGTATGGAACAATCTTTGGCAAATATTAGGATTTGAGCTAATTCGAAAAATGGGCGTAAAAGTAGGCGTGGTAATAAAAACCAAACTCGGGGTAGGACGAAAATTTTAAAAAAATATTCAAATCCGTTCAGCCGTTCTCAGCTGATTATCAGCCGATTACCAACGAAAAACAACTGAATATATATATATATATATATATATTTGAATATTTTTTTAAAATTTTCGTCCTACCCCGAGTTTGGTTTTTATTACCACGCCTACTTTTACGCCCATATTAAAAAGTAGTCATAATCAGTTCCTCTGCCCCAAATAAATACTAAGGGTTGCATGGAAAGTCAGCAGTATTTTCAAACCGATTGTTAACACATACGTACCTACATACATATTTATATTTAAGTTGTATTTTAGTTGTGACGTATTTACAGCTTTATTCTAGTTTGTAAATTCAGCTTTTTCATGTAAGCCATTTATTAACGTTTATTTAGGTTCATTTTTTTTTTTTTTTTAACTGAATCCCACTAGGTCCGATTTATATTAACATTTTTTGGTGACCCCGACGTGATCCTTTTACCCCACAAGTGGTAAAGGATTTGAATCGTAATACGCGTTCGTTTACACACATCCTTTTACCTCACAAGTGGTAAAGGATTTTGGTCGTTATACGCGTTCGTTAACACACATTCTATTACCCCACAAGTGGCAAAAGAGGTTGATCGTGATACGTGTCGTTAAACACAGCCTTTTGCCCCACAAGTGGTAAAGGACTTGGCAACATATATCCGGTTTTGTCAGGTGTGATACACACGCATCTTGTACACAAATTTCTTTGGAAATTTAAATCTCAACAATCGTACTGAGTTTAAATATTAACAATAGTCCAACAAGAAGTAAGGGGCAGTAATTTCGAAAAATTCATAGCGATCATTAAGAAGGCACCTCTTGAAAGAAGAACTGAGGAGTTTTACATTGGCAAGCGTAAGGAGCTAGAGCAGCTTTGGCAGACGTTTGAAACGGCAGAAAACCAGATCCGCAAAGATTCATCATTGGGAGAGGATGATCCGTATATAGCGGAGAATCTGTACCAGGCCATAGGAGAAAAGTTCAATGCAACAGTGGACTATATAAAGGCGGAGTTGGAGAAGCTGAAGTCTGCCAAGGTCAATCCAGATAAACCTGCAAAGACATGATCGCCAGAAAATGATTCAGAACCCCAAGCATCAGCCCAGGTTAAGGAACCTGCGTCTGCTCAAGTTTTCTGAACCAGCCAACAGGAACCTCATCAACCGCTTCTATCAAAGCTATGCATGATACGGCGAGGAATGTATGCTAGCCCTGAACAACCTGGATATTGATACTTCGACGTGGGATGCGCTATTGATCCAATTGATTACGAAGAAGTTGGATCATACCGAAAAGGCCGAAGGAGGTCCCTTCCATGAAAGAACTGTTTGCATTTTTGGAATTGCAGTTTGAGTCGATGGAATCGATTGGGAAAGTGGCAACTGCTCACAAAGGTTCAAGCAAAGCTGTTTCGTCCATAACATCAATGGAGAATCACAGTAATTGTAAGCTATGCAAAAATGATCAACATCGTCTTTATCAGTAAGCAATTCTTGGCGATGTCGGAATCTGAAAGACTTCAATGGATACAACAACATAAAATGTGCGTGAACTGATTTAAGGCTGATCGTATAGCGAAAAACTGCACATCTGGTAACTGCAAGAAATGTAATAATAAACACTATACGTTGTTACATTTATCAAGGAGATCTCAATCATCATCAACGGGCTTGAATCAAACGTCAACCACAATTAGCAATCATACACCGGTCAATACTGCTGTAATTTCTTCGGCATCAGCAGAAGATCAGAAGAACGTAATTCTTGCCACTGTTGTATGTCAGGCGAGTTCAGAGCTGTGCTTGATTCCGGTTCACAAGTAAATATTGTTACAAAACGGCTGAATAAAAGGTTATCAATTGCAACAACAGAAACCTCTTTGTCTATTGACGGAGTTGGAAAAATCCAGATGAAGGCTTATCATCGTGTGAACATGCAAATGTTGTCTAACAATTCTGGATTTCCATCTTATTTGGAAGCATTTATTTTACCAACGATTATACCTGCACAACCGAATCACGATTTGGACATATCTAACTGTCAGATTCCAACGAACATTAAATTGGCGGATCCAAATTTTAATATTCAAGGAAAAATCGACATCCTACTCGGGGCGGAGTTTTACTTCAGCCTAATGCA